TACCACTAAGCTACCCCACCAAAGTTACCCATCCAACTCAAAGAAACATTGTCTGTATTTGTAACACACTTACTAGGAACTTCATCTTCTGAAAGAAGACAAACTGTATTACCTACCTTCTCCAGCACATGGTCCTAGAGCAGTTCAGGTCTATCAGGATGGCTCCATTAGACAGCCCTTAAACCCAGAGGATGAATTGTTTCCTTATCACACCATTGGCCCGCATCCATGGTGTAGCAGTATCGGAGAGCTGAAGGTCAGTGGGTCAAACCTGGCTGTGCCATACCAAGAGGTGTTAAAAGATGGTACTTGTTGTTACCCTACCTGGCGTTTGGCATTTAAGGAATTAAACAAGGACTAGTAGGCTCAGAGTCAGTATAATATGTCTGGGTCTGGGGTATTTATGTTAAACAGCAGCATGGGTTTATCTCAGTGGGCTAGCACTATAAAACCGTCATTAATCCAGACTAGTACATGCAGCCACTAACACAGACACATTCACTTCGCTATATAAGCAAAATAATATTGAACGCAATTTTGAACCCCCATTGCACCTTCCCACACCACGGACCACTTGCTTTTGTGCAGAGTTACCTCCCTTCATAGGTTTACATCTTTGAGCAATCACAAATCTAGTCAGCAGCTTACCTCTGCTGTTGGGTTTCACCACAACGCTCTATTAACTTGGCTTCTGTCTACCTATAACCAGAAGATAGGCGATGGCCGAAATCTTGAAGGCTTCGACTGGACGACAGAAAACAGCATACAGATTTGTATCACATTGTTCGGCTGCCGCCTGTTGGTGAATGTTTGTTAGTAGTACCAAGCTTGGTGCATGAGTGAGTGAGTGAGTATGGTTTTACGCCCCTTTTAGCAATATTCCAGCAATATCATGGCGGGGGGACACCAGAAATGGGCTTCACACATTGTACCCATGTCTGGAATCGAACCCGGGTCTTCGGTGTGACCAGTAACCACTAGGCTACCCGACCGCCCCCTTGTTGCATGAAGCAACAGTGGATCGATTATAAAACCTCTACATTCTGATTCAATTTGGTTTTTTTACAGCCATTAATCAGATAGAGCTGGCTGGGTGCATTGCTCCTAGCATTACTAAAATAAAACATGAAAATGGACTTCTTTCTTAAATAACATTTAATATACAAACATGTGAATATATATACAAAGAGGAATGTACATATTCAAGGGTGTGGACTTTCTGCATCTTCTGCATAAACATACAGATCATGTGGTGCTAACCTCTAACTGACATTACGAAATATTTCCTTCAAATGTCCTGAAAAACCCACACTAATAGGGACTGCATAAAAATAACTACAAAGTTTAACATAGAGTTCTTTAAAGAAATTATGATATATTAACAAACACAATTATACAAAATGTCTCAAAAACAAATCGGGCAAAACCAGTAACAAGATTAATATATCAAATTGTGGGTAAACTTTTCACACTTTTCAGCAAATCATACATACAGCTGGTGATGACTCAAGTTTTCTCCTCTCAAGTTCTGTAACTGTGCTACATTCAGATGCAAACAGAGCATGTTTGTGTGAAATAAGAACAATATATCACAATTACCCATCTTATTTTTACTTACTTGCGTAGGTGTATGCATGAAAAAACTCCTGTAATACTGCACTATAATAAAACACAGCGTAATTACCCTTCAACTTGCCAACCTGTAGTTCTTTACAGATTTATATTTAAGAAATATTGTACGATAAACAACTGCGCCCCTCATGGTTCATTCTTCCTGCAGTGTTTTATTGTACGAGAAACAACTCTTCTTATATGAGATATCAACAGCTGCTTTGAGGATGATGATAAAATGTACAAGCTCTAAAAATATATACCCGTATTAAAATAATAACTTCCTCAATAGAATCCGACCTCAGCAATGTCGGACAAGTCTATTTTATGCAAAGGTGGGTATTTCCCTCATATTCTCACAATCTTCACGTCGATTCTCCCAATACTGATTGTCATATCTCGAACGTTTTTGGATGTAATCAATCGGCCATCACATTTATCTACGTGGCCCAGCTACATCTATGTGGAACAACTCACTAGACACTCCCCTCTCAAAAATAACGTCGCCCCAATATACATCATCAAATTGCGAGCGCATGTTTAAATCGCCTGAAAGGACGTCATGATAGAACCATGTTTTATTGTCAATCAAACCACACTTTGTTCTTCACTGTTCTTTGTAATTCATCGCGTAGACATCTTATATTTACTGGTGGAATGTAGGCATCACACATTCATGACCCTGCGTATTGTAAATTAGACATATATGCAATCTCATTAAAATCAGATCTGAGTTCTCGCTGTCGCTAAACAAAGATCTGAGGACATCCCATTACAGGTCATGTCAGAACGACCTTTCATAAGATCAATCAAAGCGTGGCTTACCAGATCATGAAAGTGACAGTTGGAATGTATTGTCTCATCATGCAACCTCGAAAACGTTAATACAGGGTATTCCAAACGACAGTTACGGCCCGTACGACTGATTCCGTCAAAATTACCTATCTATCTCTGGCTTCCATGGGATAAACATTTGAACGGAGGAGGCGTTGCACAGTATGTGGGAAGCACTGCTATACAATCTCAACCACATATTAGACATTCCGGAATGTTCATTTGTTCAGTTTTCAAAATTCGTCAGGTTGAAACGAGTGCTGTAAAGCTCAAGAAAGCTGATTTCTAATTGGCTTATGTCAACTTCTTGTTAGTCATTTCAGTCCTGGCTCTTGCACGCAACATACACCACATCTTCCAGGGCTTGTGAGTATGGCTCATAGAAAGCCTCACTCACTCAAACCATCTCCACAGGAGCCATCACCGTTAGCAGAGTGCGACCTCCCCTTCAGCTGTGTGAATCCATAGCTCTCCCTTGAGTCCAGTTCTCCACATAATATCCCACCATTTTCACTAAACTCTTCCATTGTTTCTGATGTCACAGAGTTTTTAGTGAGGATGCCTCCACAATTACTTTGAAAATTCAAACACAATCTTCTCTTGGCTTGGCTTCTGCAACATCTTAACTGTGATGTTCATTGCTAGAGGACTCGTGTTCCACATCCATAGGGTTGTCAACGGTCTGTGCCCTCTTGCTGGCGGAGTCGCCAGACAGTGTGGTGGTGGACGATCCCATTCTTCCGGAGACACACCTTGTCCCCATCCTGGAAGTCCAGCTTCTGACCCTGCGGCTGGGTGTGGTTGATGTAATGGGGACAGCGCTGTTCATTCACAGCATCCACTGACTTTCTACAGCACAACAGTCCTTGGTGTTAAATAGCAGATCCAAACTTGGCAGTGAAGTCAATTCTAGTCTAGAGACTTACAAGCATTGGGTGCTGGGGACCTATTCTAACCTGGAATCCCCACGTGGCAGTTGACTTACAAGCATTGGGTGCTGGGGACCTATTCTAACCCGGATTCCCCACGTGGCAGTTGACTTACAAGCATTGGGTGCTGGGGACCTATTCTAACCCAGGTTCCCAACATAGCAGTTGACTTACAAGCATTGGGTGCTGGGGACCTACTCTAACCCGGATTCCCAACATAGCAGTTGACTTACAAGCATTGGGTGCTGGGGACCTATTCTAACCCGGATTCCCCACATGGCAGTTGACTCACAAGCATTGGGTGCTGGGGACCTATTCTAACCCGGATTCCCCACATGGCAGTTGACTTACAAGCATTGGGTGCTGGGGACCTATTCTAACCCGGATTCCCCACGTGGCAGTTGACTTACAAGCATTGGGTGCTGGGGACCTATTCTAACCCGGATTCCCAACATAGCAGTTGACTTACAAGCATTGGGTGCTGGGGACCTACTCTAACCCGGATTCCCAACATAGCAGTTGACTCACAAGCATTGGGTGCTGGGGACCTATTCTAACCCGGAATACCCACGTGGCAGTTGACTCACAAGCATTGGGTGCTGGGGACCTATTCTAACCCGGATTCCCCACATGGCAGTTGACTTACAAGCATTGGGTGCTGGGGACCTATTCTAACCTGGAATCCCCACGTGGCAGTTGACTCACAAGCATTGGGTGCTGGGGACCTATTCTAACCTGGAATAATTAGATAAACAACAGTAACAACATTCCATACATAAGATAAATAGTTTGTTGTTTGTTTGTTGTTTAACGTTGCACTCAGCAATATTCCAGCTATATGATGGCGGTCTGTAAATAATTGAGTCTGGACTAGACAATCCAATGATTGACACCATGGGTAATTGGGGTACAACGACATGCATCAACCAAATCAGCGAGCCTGACCACCCGATCGCATCGTAGCCCTAGGATCGCTATGTGCAAGTGGACCCAGAGTTTTGTTTCACAAAGAAATTGTAGGTATGACTATCTTAAGTCTAAGTTTGAGTATGTTAGTAACGATCATGGTAGCACTAAGATCGCATTGAGCAAGATTTCCGTTTCACAGAGCAATTGTAGCGCTATGGCTATCTTAAGTCTATGTTAGAGTATGGTAGTAATCATCATCTTAGCCCTACGATCACTTTGTGGAAGGGGGCACGGGTGGCCCAGTCGTCTAAGGCGCCGCGATTCGCTGTGCAGAGTTGCGTCTCTTGGGCACGCCAGAAACCTATGATTGTGGGTTCGAATCCCGGTTCGCCCCGATTATGTTTCTAGGTTTGTCAGCACCATACCCGTGCTCGTGGGTTTCACCGAAGTGGTAAACGTCTGAGACCTGCATCACTTCGGGCTTTCCTCCCACATTAAGCTGACACGCCGCGATATAACTGGAATACTGTTAAAAGTGGCGTTTAACCCAACTCATTCACTCACTCACTTTGTGGAAGTGGGCACAGGGGCCTATTCTAATAAGGAATCATATTGATTTAGAAGGCATCTTTGTAACCAATGAAATTCAGCCGAAAATTCTAATCAAAAGACTGGCAGCTCAAGCAAGAAAAATATAAATGAAATTTACAATTTGCAATTACATCCATCTACATTGTTCAAAATTAAGGGGGTCTATGACGTTTACAACTGCAGTACTTGAATCTAGGGACAGCCTACATCTTCAACTTTCAACATTGTCAAGCTTAATTTCCACATCAACAATTGTCTGTACCTTGATCTCAAGCCGCTTCGGACACAGGCATGACTGGGAAGCTTGGTGACGACGGACGTCTTGCCACACCCTCCTTTCCCAGACAGGACAGTGATCGGAGAGTTGACCATCAGGTGGACGGCGGTCCACTGATCTCTGTCTGTCCTAACAGAGTCAAACCAACTGCTGAATGAAGAAACAGAGATCCTGTGATTAGATGCGACAGATAGTCTATGACAGCCTTACAAACCATGTTTCTTTTCCGAGAGGACTTGTGTAAAACCTCCTTCGCTAGTCCTCAGATTTGTAGCTATTTGTATGATTTATCGAGTGTGCAAAACAAGGCGACACTGGCAGGCATAATTGACAAAAATCCTACTATATTGTTCAAAATTGGGAATTTTTGAAAGTTTTTATTCTTCTCAAACTCTGATTTCTGAGGTATTTTCACATTTCATACAATGTAATTGTCCCCAAATATTTTGTTAAGGGTAAAAGTATTATTCATACTAATCCTGACTCATACTTGCTTATCTCTACTCATTTCCGAAAGGTTGTGGAAACTTCCTGAACTGTGTTCCCGGGGAATAGAGAAACATCTCACCCAAACGCACAGTAAGTAACAAACATCCGTACCTTTTCAAGTCAACACTCCAGTGGCCTGGTTGTCCGCCAGTCTGCTCAGCATACCAGTTCCTGGCTAAAAACACCTTCACATGACCTGATTCATCACTGGACTAAACAGATGTAGACCTGTCAGATTCATCACTTGCCTTCACAGGTGTCGACCTGTCAGATCCATCACTTGCCTTCACAGGTGTAGACCTGTCAGATCCATCACTTGACTTCACAGGTGTAGACCTGTCAGATTCATCACTTGCCTTCACAGGTGTAGACCTGTCAGATTCATCACTGGACTTCACAGGTGTAGACCTGTCAGATTCATAACTGGACTTCACAGGTGTAGACCTGTCAGATTCATAACTGGACTTCACAGGTGACGCCCTGCCAGGATTGTCCCTTGACTTCACAAATGCTGCCCTATGAGATTCCTTTTATCAAACACAGCTTCAACAGGCGGGGATAGTAGGTGGCAAACAGAACAACTTGACCCAGAGCTGCGAACAACAACCACATACTTTAGCAATCAGATAGTGCTGCAACAAAAACAGTTCTTCAAACACATACACAGTGCATGCATAGACACCCATCATTACTCACCCTGCAGTGCATGTATATACACCCATCATGACTCAACCTGCAGTGCATGTAAAGACACCCATCCTGACTCACCCTGCAGTGCATGTATAGACAACCATCATGACTCACCCTGCAGTGCATGGATAGACACCCATCATGACTCACCCTGCAGTGCATGTTACATGTTGTATCACAACCATCCTGACTCAACCTGCAGTGCATGTATCACACCCATCCTGACTCACCCTGCAGTGCATGTACAGACAACCATCCCGACTCACCCTGCAGTGCATGTATCACACCCATCCTGACTCACCCTGCAGTGCATGTACAGACAACCATCCCGACTCACCCTGCAGTGCATGTATCACAACCATCATGACTCACCCTGCAGTGCATGTATCACACCCATCCTGACTCACCCTGCAGTGCATGTATCACACCCATCCTGACTCACCCTGCAGTGCATGGAGAGACACCCATCCTGACTCACCCTGCAGTGCATGGAGAGACACCCATCCTGACTCACCCTGCAGTGCATGTATCACACCCATCCTGACTCACCCTGCAGTGCATGTATCACACCCATCCTGACTCACCCTGCAGTGCATGTATCACACCCATCCTGACTCACCCTACAGTGCATGTATCACACCCATCCTGACTCACCCTGCAGTGCATGTATCACACCCATCCTGACTCACCCTGCAGTGCATGTATCACACCCATCCTGACTCACCCTGCAGTGCATGTATCACACCCATCCTGACTCACCCTGCAGTGCATGTATCACACCCATCCTGACTCATCCTGCAGTGCATGGAGAGACACCCATCCTGACTCACCCTGCAGTGCATGGAGAGACAACCCATCTTTTTCGCTATGATACATGGAATGGAGAAATTCATGGAGACATTTCAGTACGGCAATACATACATCTTCCCGAGGTAAGGGAGTTAACTGACTAATCGGAATATGTGGGTTTGATCGTAGAGCTACCAGTGGCTATTACGAGTTGTGTCCCTTCTATGTCCCTCCTCTTGACCAATCAGATTCCACCTGTCATATCACTTGCATTTGTTTCAAGGGCGATCCGATGGATAATCAAGCTTTATATTGTAATAGTTCATATGTGAGCACCTTGATCAAAAACATGAAAGGATTTGGAAAATATCTGTTGACACTAAGTTGATGGTACACAAATTTTGCAAATGTTGCAGTCAACCGAAATCTGGACTGCAGTTTACGAACCGGATGTCGATTTTGATTAGACTATGCAGACTCGTAAGTCAAGACAAAATATAACTCCATAATTCCAGCCTAGTTCGGCATGGGTGGAAACTGGACCTGTAAAGTCAGTTAACTCCCTTGCCTCGGAAAGATGGAATACATATTGTATCCTGAGACCCCTAATACTTTCATCCAGACATAAGGTACCACAAATCATGCTCATGCTATACTTACAATATGTAACTGACAAATTCATTTACATAAGAATCCACATCATCTTTAGGGTCAGGCTTTCCCACTTTCAACAGCAACTGTGTGATGAGTTTGTGCTCTGCCAGCCATGGGTCTGTCCGGAGCAGGTAGGGATCATTCAAAGGGAGACAACTCCTGTATTCATACGTCTCCTTGTTGAAAGTCTGAAGCATCACTGAAGAGAGATAAAATCAAGGGCTGATCATGCTCAAAGTCAAGCTGCAGTGATTCACTGTAGTGTCGATACATCACCTTATGTTGTGTCACAAGATATCATGAGTTTGTTTGTTTGTTTGTTGTTTAACACCGCACTCAGCAATATTCCAGCTATATGATGGTGGTCTGTAAATAAACGAGTCTGGACCAGACAATCCAGTGACTGACAGCATGAGCATCCATCCACGCAATTGGGATCGATGACATGTATCAACCAAGTCAGCGAGCCTGACCACCCGATCCCGTAAGTCGCCTTTTACGACACGCATAGTCGCCTTTTACGGCAAGTATGGGTTGCTGAAGACCTATTCTACCCCGGAATCTTCACGGGTCAGATATCATGAGACCAAGCATTGATGCAATACCAGTGTTCCCACTGGCCTTTGAAACTGCCAGTCCTGGTGGACCAGCAACTCTAAAAACTACCAGTTTCCCCTCCTAATTTTGTCAGTCCCAACTTTTAACAAATAAAAAAACGAATGAAAATTACCTGGTTTTAATCTCAACATCATTTTCAATGCAATGACGTCATCTCTGAAGTAACTTAATTTGATATACTTATATGAATATCGCTGATGTTCTGTTCAACAACAAAGATGTATAAGGCACTTTATTTGCTGGTCCACAGTGACTGGCAGTCACATGAATTACTGGTCTAAGCCTAATTTTACTGGTAAAAAATTGATAATTACCGGTAAATGGGAACACTGCAAAACATCACATGTACATGCCACATCATACACCATGTACAGGCATAGATTGATTGTTTGAATGTTGTTAATTGTCCATTCGAAAATTGCAGAGAGTGTTTGACATGGACAGAGAAATGATGTCCTGACGATTGGTCATAACTGACAATCAAAAGTTTGATTGATTGATTTGATTGATTGTAAGTTTTGATAATCAACTGCATCAAAATTATTTCATTTTGAAATGTTGTTGTGTAACCCTGCATGGAATAATGTAAATAGCCAAGTCTGGACCAGACAAACCAGTGATTGAAATTGTGAATGATGTCCCAAGCCATCTGGGTAATAATGACAGGCAATCAACCAAGTCTCTAAGCCTGAGCACACGATCAGTTTAGTCACCTGACAACAATAGGTTGCTTTGGGACTTGTTTTAACCCAGTACCGTATTCGACATAATAAGCGCCCTAATATATTGGCTAGTGAAAATCCCAATTAGCACCCTTTCGATTGATCAATGTACACAAGACTTATTTATTCATGTATAATAAGCACTCGTGTGATATGTGTACCCTTAATTACGGCCAATTAAATTCTGGAAAAATATATCTGGCATGTATAATACGCACAGACTTTTCTTTAGTATCATTTCAGGCTGTAAGCATAAAACACGAAATTTACGATCTTTAAACTCTTTCACCAAAAAGTCGAATACAGTAGTTTAATTCATTAGCCTTCAGACTTCGAGCTGACAAAGATCATCCACACGGCGCTAATTGACTTAAAGTGCGCCCGCTAAAGCACTACTCTCAAATATTGTTTAGTTTAAATATATGGAATAGGTTAATTTATCTTCTTCACAATGCAACTAAAAGATGTAGATATAATTGTAAAAAGACCTCATTTTAAAGAATCAATCATATACTTCATATTTATTTACATCTTGGGGATACCGTATTCAACGTAATAAGCGCCCAGGGCACTCTCAAAATAAGAAATAGGGGGCGCTTATTAGAATATTATTTTGGAGGAAAAAACAGAGTGGAAAGATAAATTTCGTGGTTTACACTGACGGCCTGACTGTTTATATACGACAGATATATTTTTCCAGAATTTAATTAAGAATTGCAAGAATTGCAAGCTCATACAGTTTGGCCCTCACTCTATGAAGGTTCATACTCCAATGAACTCACACAAAGTGAAGGTCAATTCTTAAATGAACGTCAATTTCGCGGTCATGTGACCGACCTCTTGTCCAATGGAGAAGCCGTATATCGTGTAAACTTCAAATTAAAAAAGTATACACTTATGAACGTCAATTTCCCGGTCATGTGACCGACCTCTCGTCCAATGGAAAACTGTATATCGTGTAAACTTCAAATTAAAAAATTATTTGCCAATAATTAAGGGTGCATATAACACACGAGTGCGTATTATACACGAATAAATAAGTCTTGCGTACATTGATCAATCAGAAGGGGTGCTAATTGGGATTGTTCACTTGCCAATATATTAGCAAATATCGCCATGGGTGCTTATTAGAGCGGGGCGCTTATTACGTCGAATAGGGTAATTAGCCAATACCCTACCACAGGTCCTCAAGCACTTTCACAAATAATTAGTGCTTGTTTACCAAGTCATCAGCACCTGATTGTTTACCTTCATCATGTTTATGTGCATGCACAGTAGCCAATTTCTCATGAAAACTTGATTAAAATTTACAGAATTTCCTTGAATTTATATTACATTGGATTAATTAACTGGAAGGGATATCTGACCAATATACCCTACCTCACAACTAACCCTTCCTCACAACTAACCGTACCTCACAACTAACCCTAAGGATCGGAAAGGGGTGTTGGACCGGAAAGGTCAGTAAGGATAGAGAGGGTAACCTACCCTAGATAATTGAGTGAGAGCCAGAGTCAGCAACCGGTGCCAATTAGCGCTATAATAAGCTGCACCCGGTAAACTGCATTGTTACTCAATATCTACACACATGCAGGTGATTTTAGCAATATGACATGATTTCTAAGCATAGCAACTGGCTTGAATATGGGGGCGTGCACTATCTTTCTTCACAATCGTCATCCCCAGATGTGTGAAAGGAAAATAAATCCTCTGGGAAAGTATCATTCACGTGAAAACTATGCATATGTAGCGGCCATAAAATTTCCGAGTCCCGTGCTGGGATTCGAACCACGGACCTGATTCTGATCAGAGGTCGGGCGCCTTGTCCACATGACCAAAGAGGTTAACCCCGTCACCAAGCCGACAAGGTAAGGATATCATCTGTGGGATGACTCCACGCCCCGCTACACATACAGAGATGTGTTATCAGCTTTTCTGCAAATCCTATCCAGACACTAACCCTTGCACCGTTTGGCCCGTGAGGAGCTGACATCTCGCAGTCAGGCCAGTCATTGTCATCGTCACTCAGCTCGTCCTCGTCACTGCCAGTGACATCTTTTAGTTCGGCGTTTAACAGCGGCCATTGTGAAGTCACTGGTTTTGTCACACTTTTCGAATAGTCCCGCTGTTTTAACAGAACGACGCCATCTTGTCCTACGGAACTTCTCGGTTCAGTGTTACCGTTAGCGAATGGGATGTTCCGATTGTTCGTACCTTGTAACGGTGTCTTCTCATTGGTGCACGCGCTAAATTTACAGAGTGAGTCAAAGCACTTTCCATACTGTGAAAAAAATCAAATGACCCCACCCTCAATAAATTGAAAATCAAAAGACTGCTCATGGATCCTAATTGTTATGCATCTCTCAACCTGTGTATGTAAATATGTTATCGAGGGGATTTGCTTTGCATCGAGAGGATGTTGGTATAACTATTATTACTGTTTTTAAAATCATTTAATTGGTTACCTTCCTTAACATCAAAGCGGCACAAGAAAACATGCAGGTAGGTACTCGACGAAGCAAAGTCTTCATAAATGTTGAACAACATATATAAAATGTTGTTTTTATGTTTTATTTTCACCGCACACTTTTTAAAGTAAAAAATTTCAAAGATTAATATTTACAAAAAGTAAGTATGTTTAACAGCTGTTTTTTTTATGATCTTTATTTTGGGTCGTCCCAGATCCATTTATTGTAACGTATGCCCCCAAACTATGAAACTAACAAAAACGATGACAAAAATAAAACAGTGATTTTCCTTTTATCATTTAGCTTTACAGAATTATACTATATATGAATAGTAAGACACTTACATTGTGATTTCTTGTACTGACGTAAACACATGGGTTAATTGTCTTCGTTGCTGGACAACTACCACTCTGTCAACACACCAGATGATCTGACATCCCTTAAAACATTAAGACAAAGACTGAGAGTATGTTTTATTGATTATGGTGACAGCGTAAACATATACAAAAAGTATGAAAGATTATGAAATTACCATAGCAACCAGGTGCAAGTATTACAGGTGTATTTAGTGAGTTGAAAAGTATTTCAGTTACATCACAGCATGTCAGCTTCATGTGGGAGGAAAGTCGAAATTTATGCATGTCTAAGAGTTTCCCACTTTGGTGAAACCCACGAACTCGATTGTACTGCTGACAAAACTATGGAAACGTAGTTTTGTCGGGATTCGAACCCAGAACCACGGGTTAATATTAAAAGGGACGCAACTCTGTACAGCGAATAACTGCTTCATGGACGACTGGGCGTCCGTGTCCCCAAAACAATGCCCACGTTGGTTGGTTTGTTGTGTAACGCTGCACTCAGCAATATTCCAGCTATATGACGGCGGTCTGTAAATAATCGAGTCTGGACCAGACAATCCAGTGATTAGTATCATGAGCATCGATTCACGCAATTGGGAGGGATGACTTGCATCAACCAAGTCAGCGAGCCTGACCACCCCATCCCGTTAGCGCCTCAGATTACGACAAGCATAGTACATTTTTCAGCAAGCATGGTTGCTGAAGACCTATTTTACCCCGGATCTTCACGGGTCACCATGCCTAAGGGTGTATCTTGAAAACACACAGCCTCACTAGAGGAGAGAAGGGAAGAGATTTGTTCAACAGAACTATGGCGGTTAGACTATGTAGTTATTTAGACTCCCTGGTAGACTAACATCTAGTCTCTGAAATGAACATATCGTACAGAAAAAACAGTTGTTCAGTTATCTTAATAAAAATATAATAAAAGGGAGCCCAGTGATTCTCTTCATTTTCAGATACCGCAGTAATCTAGACTTGCCAAACATTAGACTTGCATGGGCTGTATTTGATTTATATTTGTATCAGGGTCTGTAAGACAGACTAACTCCCTGGCAGAACTGACGGTAGACTGGTATAGTCACCTCGAATAGCCGTATGCATGTATACCGCGAAAAATATCACCCAACCTCCGGACCAGATGATGTATGAACGCCGTGACACTGGGACGTCCGTGTTGCAGTGCCCCCTAGACTACCGTGATATAGACCTGTTCGTTCATTCATTCATTCATTCATTCATTCATTCATTCATTCATTCATTCATTAATTCATTCATTAATTAATTCATTCATTCATTCATTCATCAGGTCATACTGAGGTCAGATTCCATTGAGGGAGTCATGATTATTAAAATACGAGTATATATATGTTCAAAGCTTGTACATTCTGTCACCATCCCCCCTATACAGCTCGCAAAATTACAACAAATGCAGAAAATAAATTCGGACGCTAACAAACTATACACAATAGACAATGTTTTCAAACTCCCGCTAAAACGTACAGTACAGTACAGTACAGTACAGTACAGTACAGTACAGTGTTAAAACAATCGCGCTATGCATACAAGCAGAAGTGTGCGGAAACACTCCGAGTGACCAAGAACAACGACCCCAAAATATTTTGGAATATCTTAAAATCATTTCGTTAAAAAGAATCTGATAAAAGTATATAAGTATTGACACGTTGTATAAATATTTTATAAGTTTGAATGAACAATCAATAGGAGAAGCAGTCGATATTGATATTGATGATCTACCAAGTAATGATTATCTTGATATACCGCTTACAGAAGAAGAGATAGGATCTGCTTGCAATGGGTTGAAATGTAATAAAAGTTGTGGATTAGATAACATATTTAACGAATATAACAAAGGCACTTGTAACACTTTGATGCCTGTTTATCTGAAAGTATTTAATCTAATATTTGAGCATGGTGTATCCCAGAAGCCTGGCTTCTCGGTCATCTTGGTGTTCTTTTGAAGTTATTCCGGCTTCTTAACGCAGATAGACCCGTGAAGATTCCGGGGTAGAATAGGGGTGCGTTGCAAAGCGCCAATCGCTTGCAAGCGATGTACAGCGATTCGCCTTACAACAGTGCGCTAACTTTCAGCCGCTTGCAAGCGAAACAATCGCTGGCTGAGGTCGCTTCGTTCTCAAACCAAAATGGCGCCTTACTTTGACAGCGGAACAAGAAATTCTTGAGTGGATCAACGAGGAAATCAGCAAAGGCAGCGAAGACCCCATCATCCTCAGCCTGCTGTACATCTTCAAAGTAGTCATAAATTCGATCAGCTCGTCATCGAGCCTCTTCTATTACGTTCTTCATTACGTCAAGGCAACCAAACGCTAGTTGCGCCGCCATTTTGGAAGAGTTGGCAAGCGCTTCGAACTGTTGCAGACATCAGGATGAGCGATTAATTTGCTTTCTCTGAGCGATTCGTGGCTTGCAACGCGCCCCAGGTCTTCAGCAACCCATACTTGCCGTAAAAGGTGACTATGCTTGTTGTAAAAGGCGACTATCGGGATCGGGTGGTCAGGCTCGCTGACTTGGTTGATGCATGTCATCGATCCCAATTGCGTGGATCGATGCTCATGATATTATTCACTTGATTGTCTGGTCCAGACTCGATTATTTACAGGCCGCCGTCATATAGCTGGAATATTGCTGAGTGCGGCGTTAAACAACAAACCAACCAACCAACTTTACGCAGATGACACTGTTTCTCTGTCGGAGACTGCTGCAGATTTACAGAAAGCTTTAGATACTTTTGGAAATTATTGTGAAGCATGGATACTAAAAGTCAATACAAATAAAAAAAAGGTTGTGATATTTTCAAAAGGATACGCGAGGAAAAGACTTAAGTTTACACTGCAAGGTTGTGAGATTGAGATTGTTAAACAGTATCTCTACTTGGGTGTATTATTTTCAGGCAATGAATGGTTTTGTAGCGGTATCAAGTCCCTTAGTGACCAAGCAAGTAGAGCCATGTGTGCAGTTTTTAAACTTATCCGACAACTAGAAATCCCAGTTGATTGTCAGCAGAAGTTGTTTGATAACTTAACCCTCAAATATTGTTGCATGGCTATGAAGTTTTGGGCTTTGAAAGATTAGGTATGCTGGAGAGAGAGAGTACATTTAAGATATTGTAAATATATCCTTAACGTTAAGCAAACAACTCCAGCTTATATGGTCTATGGCGAACCTGGTTGAGTATAACAGTTAAAATTAGAATAATATCGTACTGGTGTAAATTAATTACTACAAGGAAATGTTTTTAATCAAAGTACTCATCTGATTTGATGCACTTCGCGAAGTAAGACCCGTTTTATCACATAAGCGCATTAGAAAGTCCTGGACCCACTAGCACAAAGCGATAAAAGAATTGCAATCATCTTAGCGCTAAGGTCGCTTTGCGCAGGTGGGCCCTGTAGTTTATTGGATGAAGCAGATCAAAGTGCCGGGTCATTACCGAAACAGAAAGGTGGAGAACATTAAGTATGTGGAATCCGTTTATTATGAATTTGTTAGATTTTCTAAGTCCTTTTAAAGAAGAGTTCTCAGTGACAGGTTCAACAGCTCAAATATGATACCGGCTACAAGTGACTTTCATCAATTTACCATTTCAGCCAATGTTCCTGATGCAGCCAGCCAATAACCTTCATCATCATCATGCACATATATAATAATTATACACAAATACATAACAATTATCTCCCTTTACCAATATATACAAAGAAAACAAATTTGGATACATTATATATACAAAATTGTATATTTTTGTTTATGTCATATATACAAACTTGTATATTTTTGTATATCCTATCATTCCAAACTTGTATATGCTTTGGATATATCATCATTCCAAAGCATATACAAGCTTGCAGTTTTTTTGCAGTGATCTATATAAAGTCATGTCATCACTTTTCTGTTGTTAATCAGTTAATAGGCAACATACAGGTGAGCTCTGTGTCAGAATCTAAGAAGTCGAAATGACAAGACTTACTACCCTGTAACCTCTGGGAGCACAGAAATACCCTCTCTGTGTCAGAATCTAAGAAGTCAAAATGACAAGACTGACTACCCTGTAACCTCTGGGTGCACAGAAATACCCACTCTGTGTCAGAATCTAAGAAATCAAAATGACAAGACTTACTACCCTTTCACCTCTGGGTGCACAGAAATACCCACTCTGTGTCAGAATCTAAGAAGTCAAAATGACAAGACTTACTACCCTGTAACC